GAGAGAGGGGGGGGCGGGGAGGCAGCTGGCTGGCGGGGGGGGCACGGCTGAATGCAACACAGCCTCAATGAGCCCAGCTCTGGGGGGCCGGGCTGGGTGTAACGGGGTCCGGATGCGCTCAGCTCTGGGGTGGGGAGCGGGCTGGGTAGAACCAGCCCAGCAGCCCCCGCCCCCACTGGGCAGGACTCCCGAGTTCCCTGGAGGACGACGCGGGCTGGGAACCTGGTCGCCTCGGTTCTCCCCCCCCAATGTTGGATCCTGGGTGCAGCTGTAGCTGGGGAGGCATCCAGGGTGCGGGGGAGGACCCAGACGCCCGGGCTTGCCCCCCCCCCCAGTCCCCTCCCGCCTCCTGGGGGACCCAGGCGTCCGAGCGCGCCCCGGCTCCGCACCCTCCCCCCGGGGCTGTTGCTGTAGCTGGAGCCGGATCCTGCCTACGGCTCCCAGCATGCACTGCGGCAAGGCAGGTTAACCCACGAGTGACTGCGGCCCCGCCCCGACGAAACTAATCCGTGACCCACAGACCGTTATCCCCGCCTTTCTACGTCATTGCTATGTGACCATTGTGAATGTTGCGATAATTCGTGTGGTCTTCAAGCCGCTGGGTTCACGTGGCTTCTTTGCCGTCATAAAAGATGGCCGCCAGCTTCGTTCTTGTTTTGTCCATTGGTGGGAAAACGCTGTGCTGCCCTTAGTCAAGATGGCTGCTAGCAGCGCCTTTCTTCTAGTTGCCCTCAGTTAAGATGGCAGCCGTTGCCGCTTTGTTATACAGGAGTCGTTATGGCCCGTGGAACTATAGCTGCCTGTTCGCAGCTTGAAGTTACAAGTGCCCTTAACAAGTATGGGTTCCCTACGGGCAGGGCTGCCCTTATTCAGAATAGCCACCTACCAATTCCTCCCCCCCTCCCCTTGTGTAGTTGCCCTCAATAATGATGGCTGCCTGGCAGTTTTTCAATGGTGGTGAAGCCAAATATTGCTTTGATAGAAGGGGCAAGGTCCAGCCCCACTCCAGGTTGCTATGGGCAGTGTCACCAGGCCTAATCCAAACCAGGCTTCGCTGTCATAAAGGGGCACAACTGGTGCACCCCAAAACCTAAGTCCTTGGAAGGGGGTACTGCAGGCCACACTGCATAGGCATAGCAACCCAACTAGGCCACAGCCAGGTAGCCCCTAAATGGAGGCCCTGGCAGAGTGCACTCTAAATCTGGCTGTTGCCACAGACACCTGGACTAGGCCTCAGGTAGCTGTCCCCTAAACTGAAGCCCTGGCAAGGGGTAGTGCAAAGCCAGGCTGCATTGCTAGGGCAACCACAAGGCCACACCCAGATGAACGCCAAACACATAGTCCAAGCCAGGCTGCATTACCACGGAGACACCAACTAGGCCACAACCAGGTGAACCCCAAACCAGTCCCTGGCAGGGATTACTCCAGGCTGCAAGCAGGTAAGCCCCAAACACAGACCCAAGCCCAGCTGCATTGCTGCAGCAACCCAACTAGGCTGCTCCATGGCTGTCATACCGAGGGGGCCTGTGAGGAGCCCCTGGCCCCCCAAAAGCCCCTCCCCCAGCTGGGGGTCCACACTAATGGCAGCGACACAAAGCACTGACATCACAATGGCTCTTTTCTACAGCAAACAGTCCCTGAGAGAGCTGGGGCATGGTGGGGGGAAATCATTCCCCCCTCCCCTAGCCCCCATGTTGGGGTCCCCCCAGTGGGGGGGAAGAGGTAGGCTGGGGCCTGGCCTCACCCAGCAGGGTGGAGAGGCCCCTCAGAGAGGAGTGGTGGGTCCCCCGAACCCTACACCTTCCGGGGGGCAGCATCCCGGGGCAGGGTCTGGGTGGCCTCCAGGAGGGCACGAACAGTCAGCGCCAGGCGCGCTGGGCTCTCCTCGTCCAGCACGTGCTGGGGCTGGCACAGCAGCTCCTGGCAGGGGAGAGGACGCATTAGTGGGGGGCCAGAGAACCCCAAACCTAGGCCCCGGCCAAGCCAGGCTGCATTGCTGTGACTACCCCACTAGGCCTCACACTGCTGGGGACCCACAGACACACCCATAAAAGCCCCCGTTTTATGTACGTGTAAGGGAGGGTTGCCCAGATCTGGGGGGTCTGCTCCATGCAGTGACCCCCTCCATACACGCCCCTCCGGCCTACCCAGGCCCGTAAAGCAGACGCCGATGCTGGACAGACGGACGGAGACACACAGACCAAGCGATGATTCAAGGCGGGGTGGGGGCAGACAGACCACCCCCACCCAAAACGAAGGCAGAAAAAAGGAGTGGACACAAGGGGGGGTGCTGGTCTCACACTGGTTTTTACCCATAAAATATCAAATATAAACTCTTCTCTGTCTATAACTTAATAGCGTTCATGGCAGCAAAGGGGGGTGGGGTGGTCTGAACTTCACCTCACCCCCACACACCACAGAGTAAGGCATCCACTCGGGTGGGTGCATAGTCTGAGTGGGTGCAAAGGCCACAAGTATAGGGGGAAACTGAGGGACGGTAAGGGGGTGAGTGAGGGGATGGAAAGGACACACCCTAGGATTCTATAAAGGCCTGGTATGGACTGGGGGGGGTGTGAATCTGGGGTGTAATAAGGCCTCATGTAGACTGGGGAGGCAGGGTACGCCCTGGGGTCCAGCAAGGCCTTATGTACTGGGGAGGGGAGGTTAAGGTCTCCCCAGGGCCTGATAAGGCTTCATATAGACTGGGGGGGGGGCACCCCTGGAGTCCAGTAAGGACATG